TTCGGTTAAACATTTTTGGAAAATCTTCGAAAATACAACCAACGAGACAACCAAGCTAACGATAGTAATTTGTTAATTTGGCGCTGAAAATTAATTTTCATTGTACAAGCCATAGTGTCACATGTGTTTTGGTTCTGTTCGACCATTCAAAAGTGATAAGAAGACAAACAGCGAAAATTGAAAAGTAACAGTGTTAAGTGACATAACAAAAAAGGTAAATAAAAATACCAGCAAAGTGTGTTCAGCTGCATGCAGTGAGATAAAAGTGAAGTGAAAAGTGTAGCAGAGTGAAAATTTATGTTATTAGAGAGCAAGCACAGCATAGCGTGAGTGAGAGCGCAGAACTAAAATAAATACCTACATACTTGCATTCATTAAAATTCCGGCCAGCGGCCGAAACTGCTTTGTAATACCAAAAAAAAAAAAAATTGACGACATTGTTTCAGCAACAAAATAAAAAAAAGTACCCAACGATTGCAGAGATCATCTCGGCGGAGTGACAACGTCGAAGGTATATTTGATGTAAGTATTCTACCTGTTGTCGTTTCAGAACGAGTTAATGTGTTTTAAGTGGATTTAACGATAGTTGAGATTTAGAGTGAAACATTTTTAAATGGAAGTGTTCATCGTACAAACATACTACTTGGTTGAATAATCGGTGTGTGAGTTTGAGAAAAGATTATCTTTCAAATTCTTATCTGCAATTAAATATCTACTAAGTGCCATTTTCTCTACTAACCGTTTATTTAAAGTTCACTTTATATTTAAAGGTTGCTTTGAAATATATACATATGTAACTAAGTCTAAAATAAAGCACTTCTATTATCGGTTTTTGACCTATGTATGTTTCTTGGTTGTAAACCAATTTAAAACCGATAACTTTACTTTAGATACAACCATAAATTTTAATGTAAACTTTAAATATAAAGTGAGCTTTAATGTTAAAGGTTACTTGAGAAAACGGCCCTTTGTTTATCAAATGAATCGGTTGAGTAAAAAACTATTTAGGTAACTTTATTTGCATGTATGTACTTTGCTGCCTTATCTAATCTGAGCTTTCTCAATACATATTTGACATATAGCTATTATATATAGGGTGATTCAATAAGACCGGAGATTTTCTTTTCGTAATGTTTTTAGTCTATGACATTTAAGTATTACACATATCATCCGTTTATATCCATCCTCTGGCAACACAGGATCCCATTTATAATGCTCATGATTTCCTTATTAATCATCTCGGGCTGATCGACATATACCATACTTTTCACGTAGCGCCAGAGAAAGAAGTCTAATGGTGCCAATTTGCAAGATCTCTGCGGCGATTTGAGTCGTTTCTTCGTGAGATAATGCGCCTTGGAAGCTTCCTTCATTGTTTCATACGACTTGGAGAAATTCTTCTAAGTTCTGAGGGACCTAGTAATATTGCTCAAAGTTATTATAAGCAGTCCCATTAATTTCGCTGGGATACTAAATTCAAACATCGCATCGTATAGTCAACTCATCGCGTCTTTTCCAAGATTTGGCGTATAGGCAGATGGTGGATTTGCAAGGTCTAAAACCACACTGATAAGGCCCAATCAGCTGGTTGACGTTGGGATTCAGTCTTTCACACAATGCGCTCAATATAACCTTGTAACCTATGCTTAGAAGGCTGATCCCGCGATAGTTGCCGCGAATTGTAGGGTCGCCTTTCCTTTGGATTTAATTCCAATCGCCAGGCATACTTTCCTCTGACCATATTTTGCATAAGAGTTGAATATCTCGGCTGGCAGGGAGTGAGCTCCAACAGCTTTGCTGTTTTGCAGTCGCGAAATTGATACTCGTACCCTGTCATATGTAATCGGGTGATGTTACTGCGACTCCATTTTCCCCGACTGACATCTTCAGTTTATTATTGGATGTCGTCAAGACTGTTCTAGTTTAAGCTGGGATTTTACATGCAAATTTAAATGTTTTAGTAATGACTTTCATCTTAGAGACTATGTCTATAAAATACCGAGAAGATACTTACAAAAAAATATATACTTTATTATTAAGACAACAGCTTGGAAGTTTCTAAAAATCATGCTCAACGAACTATCAATAAAATAGTCCACTTTATCTATAGCGACTTGAATATTTGTACGCACATGTATACAAACGTACTTAACCTCAATACCAAGAAAATGTTTGTTATCTCTTTTAAATCAATGAGCGAACATGAAGAAACAGGTATGCACATATCTATATATTTACTTAGATGTACATAAGCGTGTAAGTGCATAAGCAAGTAATGGTCAAAAAGCCGGTAGTGTGAAAAATTGTAGAAAAGCATGTGGTTAAAAAATGAAAATAAATCGTTGAGACGAAAACAAAACAAGTAAATAAGTAAACAAACAATAAACGGCCTTCCGCTTCCGACGAGCGAGTGCAACGGGTGAATGAGGGCAAATCGGAGTTGAAAGTAACGTACCTACATACAAGTTGTGGCTGAAATGACGAACTGGGGGAAAAAAGCCGCTCAACTAAACTTTGGTTATCTTACTTAAGGCCAGTATGCAGCTCTCAAAAGTAAAAGAAAAAAATTGTGATTATTTCGTGTGTGTGACCAAAGAATTTTGACATCTGGTATTTCATAGCTTGTTGCCTTACTCTTTCTTCTAGAAATAATGGAACGGGCATACATTTCTGTTGCTTTTCTTGAGAGTTGATTACTGGCCTTTAGAGGAGATAAATTAAAAAAAAAGCTGTCTGTGACTACGCCAAATACCTGAGTATGTACATATGTATGTACGTGAACAAAAGCCGTAAAAATTCTCCATGATGCTGACGATGCGGCTGAAGAGAACATCAAGAAAAAATCCACCGCCACCATCCTTGAAGAGCTGAGTGTGTGGTAAGCTCGTTTGCGATCGGGCGCATCTTCACAACCAGTGTTGCCGTTGAGAATTTTCAGAAAGTCGCAAAAAGGGGTAATTGACGAAAAAACGGGTTACCATATTACATATAAATAAATCTGAGATCCCAAGTAAAAATCGAATTTGCATGTATTATATAGCCCCTTCGCTGCTAGAACGTTTGCGGTTAAGAAGAAAATAGCGGGACAAAACAAAATTTTAAGAAAGTCTGGTCAAAGGGTATTGGCGCCTAAAAATAGTCAAATTGAGCCTTTAGGCGCACAACGGCAACACTGTTGCCAACTCTAGTGGGTTCGTGGAGGGATGATAAATCAAATCGAGCAGCTGGATCAGCTAAACCGTTCTGTGATCGAGTGGCAAAAGATATGACACGGCCGCTGATGAAGAAAAGTAAAAAGTGTGTCATATATACGTGTGTGTGTGTGTGTGTGTGTGCAGCTAAAGTGATGTAGTGCTCCGAGGAGGGGGTGCGGAGGCAGATGAAGATCTACAAAATAGTGGCAGACAGGTTCTTGTGCAAAGCGAGGGAAAAATATGGGCAGACTAAAAAGGAGTAAAAAAAAAACAGTAAAAGTGTGTTGAAAGAAATGCGGCAAAATTGTGTGCTTATATTTATTTATGTATGAAGAAAACAAAAACGAGTTTAGAGAGTAAAAGGAAAATGCAAATAAATGTAATATGAATAAGCGATAAAACATGGCATGGAAGTAGGTGCTATGTAGTAAAATAATAAACATGGGAAACTCACAGAAGAAAGACATACATATGTAGGTACATTTGTGAAGAAGAAAGTGTTGGCTACCCGTGGAGAAGAATTCACAACGAAGTCGTAGCAGAACTTGGGCTTACACATGTCCATACCTACGTACATTAGGTTGGTCCTTAAATGTAGGAAGAAAACTTTTATATCAGATTTTCTGAGCCTCAATCCCTACGTCGATGCTACTATAGTCGAACATATCACATATAAATTTTGGTCCCGATTGAAGTGGGTTACAGCGTGTCGCACAGGGTTCAAAGTTCAGATTACCCTATGACGACGTCTTAGCCGACTTCAATCGGGACTAAAATTTGTATGTGATGTCCTCGACTTTAGTAGTATCGATTTTAGGCATTAAATGAAAAAAAAATTTACATTTTTTGAGTCCCTAGAGGCATCTGGCCTTTGACCCCTTTGCGACACGCCTTAATCGAGTCCAATAGGGACTAAAATTTATATGTGATATCTTCGATTATGGTAGTATCGATTTTGGGTATTATATAAAAAAAAAAACAATTAATTTTAATTTTTTTAGTCTTCATAGAGTAATTTGTACTTTTCCCCCTATGCGACACGCCTTAACCGTCTCCAATGGGTACCAAAAATTCATATGTGATATCTATGACATTGGTGTTACCGACACTGAAAAAAATCATTAATTTGACTACCTACCTACCCCACATTAGGGCTACCCTAAGTAAATATAAACAAAATTCTATAAAAATCTAATACCTAATAATATTAGGCTAATATAGCGGATGGTAAAAAGCAGATAAGAACTGCTTCATTTGAAATCTGGCAGCACTTTACATAGCACAATTTTGCTATCGACTACCCGATCAGCCGTTTATTTAGTGTGCTAGTTTTGCTTTCGTTGTTTTTTATTACAGTTAATTTTCATATGCGTAACTTAAAAAACAAGTGAGCAAAGAACTTTAGCAAAGAAAATTGATTTTGGACGAATTCATGCAAAATCCACACAGCTCCCAATGTCGGTTGGTAAAATTGCTGAAAATTGGAAGGTCGACGGTTCAAAATGTACTGTCAAATATCAAGAAAAATGGCAGCATTGAGAGAAAGGCGTAATCTGGCGGAAAATCAGGCTGTATAAATAAAATGGCGGAGAAGGATGTTCTAAGGACTTTGAAAAGCAATCCGAATATTTCTGAACGTGTTGTTGCACCTGGAGTGTTGTTCTGAGAGCCTGTATTGTTTTGGCCTGATCTGGCAACAAGTCATTGTGCAAAAAAGCGCAAGAGTTTTATACACAAAAAGGAATCAACATTGTACTAAAAGAGGCCAATCCTCCGAATTGCCCAGAGCTGCAAACGATCGAGCGTTATTGGGCCCATATGACATCAAAATTAGAAAAAGAAACAAAATGCACGGCTTCACGAAAAACGCAGTTCTGCAGAATGTGGCGAAAACAGGCTGAATCCATCAACGAAAAGGATGTCCAGATATTAATGGCGGGTGTCATCTCTAAAGTACGGGTATTTTGGCGTGGAAATCAATTCTAATAATATTTGTAAATCTTTCGTTTAAATAGAAATAAAAGAAGGCTCTAAAAAAGTTTCGATTGAATTATTCACATTTAAATTATTATTTTTTTTGCTATTTAATACCTACCAGATTTCAACTGAAGCAGATGTTATCTTTAGTTATGGAGTCAGAAATACTGAATATCTCCAAACCTGGTATTTTTCCCAAAATACATGCATGAAGTTTCTTGTAAAGAAGATTGTCGATAATACAGTTCCCTCGTGGATGCTATTTGTTTAATAAGCGCCTCTAGAGCCTCAATTTGTGCCCAAAGATATATTACAATTCTCACACTCCTATTATTCTTTATTAAAATATAT